ACTGCTATCAAAACGGACGAACGAGTCCGGCTGATGGACGAAATCATTTCCGGGGTACAGGTGATCAAGATGTACGCGTGGGAGAAACCGTTCTGCGCCATGGTCGAGCTGGCGCGCAAGCTCCAACTTCGAGTGGTCACCAAGAGTTCGTATATCCGCGGCATTTACATGACCTTCAATCTCTTCACAACCCGGATGGCGCTCTACTGCACCCTCGTCGCTATGCTGGCGTTTGGTTCTGACATGACCGCCGACAAGGTCTTCGTCGTCTCGTCCTACTTCAACATCCTCGCATACACCATGACCGGCATGTTCGTGCGCGCTTTCGCAGAGTTCGCCGAGTGTATTGTAACCATACGCAGGCTCCAGAACTTCCTCATGTTCGATGAGTTCCAGGGCAGCAATGTTATCGTTTCCAAGGCGTCATACGCCAACATCAGTTCGGATTTGAAGCGAGTCTCCAAATTGGATCTGCCTTACATCGACGACGACGACGATGACAACGTGGAGAAGCAGCTGGAATCACGTGGAGAGGTTTCGGACGAGAATAGCGATCACAGAAAGCCTAACAGTCTGATGACTGTTGCCAGCGACTTATTGATGAGCACCGCTAATTCTATTGGTGGTAATAATTCAAAATTCAAAGAATTTTAGAAAAATATAATTTATATTTTATTCAATTTATTTTATATTTTAATGATAAATACAGCTCGTTATTGTAAAAACAAATGTAGAGGATATCCCAATATCCCTAATTTTATTATACATACAACCTGAGGAAAGAAAAAATTATTTACTTTAATAAAATAATATTATAAAGATATTAAAATAAAGTTAAATTTTATGACGTCTTCTAAGAATTTTTTTCAGTTTTTAGAGAAATTTTATAAATTTTTTTAAAGGTCATGTAAGATATTTTGCGTTGCTTGAACAATTTTAGTTTCTTTTTAACATTTATTTTTGAAAAACCTATACTAACTTGAAATAAAATTTTACTATTTATAGAAAAGAAATCCATATATGATACGAACAACTGGGCTATCAATATGATTAACGTTACTGCCAAGTGGGAAGAGAAACAGTCAGAGAACACCTTGGAGAATCTGAATCTGGAAATAGAAAGAGGTAAGCTGTACGCGGTGATCGGCATGGTGGGCAGCGGCAAGAGCTCGTTCCTGTCCGCGATTTTGGGAGAGATCAGCCTGACAGAAGGTCAGGTGATAGTCAACGGCGATGTCAGCTACGCTAGCCAGGAAGCCTGGGTATTCGGTGCTACTGTCCGACAAAATATACTCTTCGGACAACCTTACGATCGCCAACGATATCAGAAGGTGGTCAAGGTTTGCGCCCTGTTGCGCGACTTCAAGCAGTTTCCGCAGGGTGACCAGACTATCGTGGGTGAGCGGGGCAGCTCGCTGTCCGGCGGTCAAAAGGCCAGGATCAACTTGGCCAGGTCCTTGTACAGGCAGTCGGACATCTATTTGCTGGATGATCCTTTGAGCGCGGTGGGTGATTATTAAAAACGAATCAATAGTTTACTCTTATTTATTTTCTCAGGCGTGATGTATAATTTATGTAATTCAAGTTGATAAACAATAATGATGCGGAATTTTGCATTTTGAACATGAAGGACTTTTTGTATAAAATTTCAGGTGGATGCACATGTCAGCAAACACCTGTTTCAAGAGAGCATTCAGAGATACCTGGCCGGTAAAACGAGAATCTTGGCGACGCATCAGCTACAGTACATAAAGGAAGTGGATGCCATTATACTACTTGACCAAGGAAGAATAAAGTACTTCTCGCATTATCAGGATTTATTGGAATATCGACCCGAGTACGGAATACTTGTAGCAGCGGAGAACGAAGCGATCGACGAACCGTTCTTAGAAAAGGATATAAACGTACGACGACAGATTTCTTCCTCGAGTAACAGAGTAAGTGGAGCTATAAATATACACACAAAACAATGAAGAGAGAAAGAAAGAGTTTAAAATTATACTTTGCAAAATATAATTTTTATTTTTTTAAATATTGTTTTTAAAGCAATATTGAATTGATGAAATGATCCTTCGCTATTCTTGTATTTAATGTTATTAATAAGTAATATTTCAATGACAAAATAAAAATAAATACGATTGAGGCTAAGAATGTTAAGATTATGAAGATAAAATTTCCGCAACAGAGTCGAACTTCGGAAGCTAGTACCGGCGGCACCGATGAAGAGGAAGATCAAAATCCCGAAACATTGAACGGCGGTCTCGAGACGACGTCGCGCGGCATAGTTAAGGGTCCTATATTTATCAAGTACTTCAAAACTGGTGTCAGCTTATACATGGCTGGTACTGTTTTGCTTCTATTCAAAATCACGCAAATCATCGTCAGTCTCAACGATTACTTCGTGCCTCTCTTGTGAGTATCTATGTTCATTATATCAGGAACTGTTTTACTTTAATTGGTTGAAGAAACATTTACTGTATAAATAATTATTTATTATATTTATTATAAGTTATGATTTTTTACCTTCTAATATTCCTGTGAAAAAATTCTGATAACATTTCAATATTTTTAATAATTTGTTATATTTTAATATAAAGCTTTCTGAAAAAATGTTTTCAACTTTTCTGGATTTTATAAGTTTTCTTCAGAAATTGTAGATCGAAATCTTGTAGAATACTTCAAAATTCACATATATGAAAAATTTTAAAAAAGTTTTTCAGTAATAAAAAAATCTGAAAAATTTTTTAATAAGTTAAAATTATATAGAAATTCTAAAATTTACGTATAAAAATAGTGAAACATTTTCATTAGGGAGTTGCTTAGTTTTCTGAAATCTGTAAGTCTCTATTGTATTAACTTTATTCGCGTACAACACTCGCGTATTTAATACAAATTTAAAATTTAGTATTAAATATTGACAAGATGTTTAAAGCATCTTTTGCCGTTTTAATTATTTCATTCATCATTCAATAATTTTTTTTCTCTAGAATTAATTTTGTGGAAACGGAAAACTACAAAGCCAAGCAGTTTAGTTTGAATCAGACGGATGACGTTTACATGAACACAACGAATATACACAAATACATTACCCTTGAAGACGAATCGGTGATTATTTATGTCTACATTTACACTGGCATCGTGCTGGCCATCTTCTTCGTTGGCATCACCAGATCGTTGGTCTTCTACAAGACGTGCATGAGATGCAGCCAACGTCTACACGATATGATGTTCAGCGCATTAATTCGTACTGGAATGCGATTTTTCGACACTAATCCGAGCGGTAGAATCCTCAATCGATTCTCCAAAGATATGAGTGCGGTCGACGAATTATTGCCTAGAGCGATTCTGGACGCCGGTCAGATGAGCATGTTGATGTTAGGATCGTTAATAGTAACCTGCGTGGTAAATCCCATCTTCTTGGCGCTTATCGTGCCTACCAGTATATTATTCTATTGGATCCGTAGAGTCTACCTTAAGACCAGCAAGAACATCAAGCGACTGGAGGGAATGTGTATGTTTGATTTTTTTACTTAGTTTTTATTAGGATTTATTAAAATCTTGATTACACACACACACACACACACACACGCGCGCGTATATACAAAATTTTTTATATATTCAATATTCAATATATTTTTTACATATTATATATGTATATGTGATAGTTTCTCAAATGTGCAATAGATGGCTGGAGGAATCATGCTTGCTTATCTCGTATTTAATTTCTGACGTGCAGGGCTTATAAGGCACCGGCGTTGAACGGATCCAACAAAAAGGGTGCTCGCTACTTTAATAGCGCGTCATGTCGATTTAACGTCGGCATGGTGGGGTATGGCCATCAAGACATACCCAGTACATAATTTTTGTAAACGCGAGGCTGTTGGCTGCCACTTCAGCACCGGCGCCTCCATCTAATTACTCGGAAAAAAATAGATTGGATAATTCAGCAAATCTGTAGTTTGTTGCACCAGTTTATATTTTTACTTTTTTCTCCCTTATAATTATCTTAATTATTTGAAATTTATAATGCTCTTTTTTTTAACATAAATATTTTCTGAAGACATGATTTCTTTACTGAATGGAATCTGATTCTTTTGTGTTTCAGCACGCTCGCCGATATTCACTCACTTGAACACCACGTTGAACGGTTTGACGACTATCAGAGCATATTGCGCTCAGGACATACTTAAAGATGAATTCGACAAGTTGCAAAATGTACACACGTCTACCGTTTACATGTATATTGTGACCAACACAGCATTTGGATTCTCTCTGGACGTGATTTTTTTTTTCATCATTTCAATCGTCACTTTTAGCTTTTTGTTCAGTAAATGTAAGCATCAATTTTTTCAAAAACTTCTCCCTATTTTTATATTTATTTTTATTCATATGGGTGAGAACAAACAGTTCATATTTTTAAATATATATTTTAAAAAGAACACAAAATATTAGTGATTTTTAAAATAAAAATTATGTTACTATATTAAAGATTATATAATACATAAATAATTATAACATGAAAAGATTTTATTTGAAATACAGAATTATTATTAATTTTCAAAAATTTTTCAAATTAATATTAGAAATTAATTTTACTATTAAAAATTTAAATATATATTTAAGTATGACGCATAAAAAATTAATGTATTCTTCACAAAATATATATTAATTTAAATTATTAAAAAGACTATACTCATTAAAACACAGAGAATTTTGCTTGATATAAATGTTGATATTTTATCTATAAATTTTTCAAAATAATACTAGAACTAAATAAATAAATAAATAAATATATATATATATATACATATATATATATATATATATATACATATATATACATATATATAAATTTAATAAGTTTAAAAAATTTGAAGAAAAAAATTATTCATTATTAAAATTACGCACAAAAAGTATTTATTACATAAAAGTGGGATATATATCATGGGCAATTTAAATATATGTCTGACTCAATGAATAAAATAAAAAATAATTAAATGAGATTACTTATGTATGTTGGGAACCTTTCAGCATTTTCCGGTGGCGAAGTCGGTTTGGCCATCACACAAGTAATGGCTTTGACCGGGTCAATTCAGTTTGGAATGCGACAAAGTGCGGAGGTAGCGAATCAGATGATGGCGGTGGAACGTTTACTCGAATATGTTCAACTTCCGCCAGAACCGAATTTAAGAGACCGAGGGGCGTACGTGAAGAAGAAAGATAGGAATTTGGCGTTACCGTCCAATGTTCCCAAGACCTGGCCCGACAAGGGTTGCATCGAATTCAGAAACGTTTATATGCGCTACGCGGACGAGGATCCGCCTGTCCTCAAGGGCCTGAGCATAGTGATTTATCCAGGGGAGAAGGTACGGTCGTTTTGCAAAAAAATTTTTGTAGAAACAGATGAATAGGAAGAAGATGGAAAAATTTTATTTTATTATTAGTTATTATTTTATCTATTTATTAAAAAATTGAAGAATCTTAATTTTGTTTTGAACTCGAAGTATTTGAATCTTCTTCCTGTGATTTTTTCTAAGTAAAATTTTTATTGATTGTTAAAAAATTATGCAAAGAATGATAAAAATTGATAGAAAATAAGAATTTTTAAATTTTACTTTATTTTGAGAAGCTAAAGTTTTATCAAAATAACGTAAAGAAAGGAAAGTATATATTAATATATATTAATATAAAGATGTGTATGAAAAAAATTCGGATATTCTAAAAATAATGTCTCCGTCACACAGATTGGAATTGTGGGAAGAACAGGCGCCGGGAAATCATCGTTGATATCAGCGTTGTTTCGATTGGCAAAAGTGGAGGGGATCATTGAGATTGACGGCGAGGACACGGGTTTGATAGCCTTAGAGGACTTGCGACGCAAAATGTCCATCATCCCCCAGGATCCCGTTTTGTTCTCAGG